TGCTTGCGCCCCCTTGGAGGCATCTTGTTCGTATCCAAACTGTAATCTTCATATTCAATGAACACCCATTTTTGGGACTTTGTTCCAAGAGGTTTGTTCCTTACACAATCGTCTGATCCTCTTTTAATTGTTAGGGAGCAACACGTGAAACAGGATCCATTTCGAACTTCAGTTTTGAGTTATTGTCAGCAGATCGATGTCAGGTACTTCATCTTAATTCTGACTTTTGCCTGCATATTCCTGCAAACTTCAATGAGTTGATGTTTAGACCTAGTCAAATTGGAATATGGAGTTCTACTTATTTTTCAATCAGTTCTTGTTGTGTTTGACAATTGTCTAACTGGGCTCTTTGTAAAGATGCCGGTGGTAAAACAAGGCCTATCATAGAAGTGACAAAATCAAATCACTCGATTGCTTTAATCTAATGCACATATAACAAGCTAGACATGGATGTTGACTCTTTTGTGTATCAATGGCTGAGGAAAGATTCATATAGCGTCTGGGGATAAAGGAAATGGGATTTTATTACATGGATTTGGGATTGGGGGAGTGTGATTATCAGTTGTACAAAGAATCTTGCACCCCAGCTTGTATAAAGTTGAATTTTGAATTAAGATAGACAATAATTTAATGGATTAGTCCAAAAGAAGGTTGTAAACTTACATTTTCTCTTGTAACTGGTCCTAGATGATTAGCAATAATCCTCTGCTTTACAATCAGTTTTTTTTTTTCCTTTATATGTTGAAATTTGTTAATATTTGCATTTGGAATATCTAAGTCTTGGTTTTTAAGCTTCATTGCAATTTGTGCTTGAGCTCTAAGAATGCCAGATATTGATATAGTCGATTTCTATGATTTTACTACGTTTACTTCACAACACAAAGATCTCATTCTTGAATTCGTGAAATCTTGTTCATTGACATTGGTTTCTGATCAACTGCAGCAAAGTTCAGGGAAAGGCCTGACCTGAAGGAGGAGAAAATCCCACCACATGTTGCAAGTCGCTGTAGAAGAATTGACAAAATTACACAGGTTTTTAGTCTATTATCATCTTACAGGTAGTTAATATCTTCATCTTTTGGCACTTTTCTTCCATGCCTCTCCCATTTCATCTAAAATTTTGAGATACTTTTGAATCCATTAATGCAATCTCATTAAGTTTTTGAAATAATTGCTATTATTGGTGGAATATAGTTGAGAAACTAGATATTGGATGTATGTTGACTCTTTAACTTAGTGACTATTTTGTTATGATAAATGGATTAACACAAGCAATGCATTATTATCATAAGTGTATTCTAAGTGTTAGTTCTTAATTACAATTAATCCTTCGTTACTATAGAGAAGAATCTTTTTTTCTAATATTCGTCTGATTCAACGTGAGTCCATTGGCCTATACGTTTGGCATTTCAGGTATAAATTAAATATATACCTAAAATGCCGAATGTATAGGCCAATAGATTCATCTTGAATCGGACAAATATTGAAAACTCATTCTTCTCTCTCGTAATGTAGGGTTAATTGTAATTAAGAACTAACACTTAGACGACACTTATGATAGCAATGTATTTCTTGTTTTAATCTATTTATGATGACAAAACATTCACTAAGTTAAAGAGTTAACATATATCAAATATCTAATTTCTCAACTATATCCCAACAATAATAGTAATAGCTTCAAAAACTTAATGAGATTGCATTAGTGGATTCAAATGTATCTCAAAATTTAAGATAAAATGCGAGAGGCGTGAAAGAAAAATGTCAAAAAATAAAGATATTAACTATCTATAAGATGATAATATACATACGTGTGCAATTTTGTCGATTCTTCTTCAGTAACTTGCAATATTATGACATGACCCGTTTTGAATCATCTTGGTGGACTCGAGACATGACGTGTCAAATAATGAATGTTGACTAGATGTTAGATTCACCATCAAGGCTGACTGTAATTTACTACTAATTATATGTCAAAAGAATATGCTTATAAAAAATGGAACGAGTCCAAAGTGATTGCTTCATGCTCTATCAAAATGAATCATAGAACTCAATATGCCATGTGGTTGTAATTGTGAAATTATCGAGATCCCCAAGCTGTCAAGAACCAATTGCTACTTGAAAAAAACTAGTTTGAAAATGTATAAGTTGATAAACTCAGTGATTGGATAATTTGAAAATATTTATACCTTCACATTTATATATTTAATTAAGTTTGAGTTCACATTACTTAACAATTCACAATATAACATCATATAATAATAGTAAAGATGGGAGATGTTCTCATAACATTAGAAAATATCATCTTAGAATCATAATATAATCATCATTCTAAATTCCATACTATAATCTCATCACATCGCAATATACTAGAAAATCTCACAAAAAATGTACTCTCTAATTAAAATACATCATTCAGTCATACGTACACAGACTATCCCTTAGGCTAAGCACTCTCAACACTGGCCTTAGACCCTCTCAGTGAACGAAAATGGGTCTCAAAGACATCTGATAATCAATTTTAATACATGACAAATTCCCCTCAATGAACATATACACAGTGAAAACCCCTAAGTGCACTATCGTGCACGGTCATGAACTCTTAGTGTAGTGTAGAACGCTGCTATGACCCCTCAGTGCACTAGAAGAATACAATCACGAATATTGTTCTGGTTGATCTCAATACCACATACATCTCACATTTCATTTCACAAGTAATCAACATACAACCTTCATAATTTTACAAATATTATACTTCATAATAATCATGTAAATAGACAATTAATTCACACAATTACACGTAATGTAATAGTGTAATTAAATTGTCAATATTTTGAAATATTTAAGTTTTTCCACTTATTGGACTATGTACTGGATAGAGATTAATTCGGTTTATAAGCTATCGTGATCTTCTCGTTACTCCCTGAAAAATGGGGCAATTATTAGAACTTATACCCATTTAATCTA